GAACTGTCATCCACTTGAAATAATTCCTATCAATTTTTATGGGGCAAAAGTTATTTGCTAAAAAGCAATATGTCCTGTAAAGTTCATCCATCCATCCATATAAATTATAGTGACCACGTTTTAAAATTTTAGAATGTCACAATCATTGCTTTCATGTATGTAAAAAAACAAGAGTTTACATTTCAAGGTAGTGTCAGCAGAATCAGAAATCAGAATTTGAAGTTTATGGGTTCAGAGTTTTAGTCAATTCAAATTATTGAGTTCTGAATTAATAATTTGTATATATTAATAAATTTCTTAAGACAAATACAATGTTTGAATCAAAGAAATTGCATCTGGACTTGACCGAATTGTTACCTTGGTCTCTAGCTCCGTCCCTGAGTGTGAGAGGGATGGGGTTTCTCTCTCTTTTAGCCTCCCACGAAAGGCTATAGCTCGGTGGTAGAGCGTGCCCTACGCTCCTTCAACTGGTTTAGTACAACAGTAGTTTCAAATCAATGCAAGCCAATGAACACCCTCCTTAGGGACAGTCGCATAGACTGAGACGTGAATGTAAAGTAAGTGTTTGAAAAGTTGGCCCAGGTTTTCATCAATTGACCTTCTTATTGAAGAACATTGAATTTACGAGATCTCAAGAGTGTGGGTATAGGCCAATTAGTGGTAAATTTAATAAAGCAACAATTGATACCATAGAAAACAGTCATAAGCCGGAGAATCTTGATCAATTTAAAAATTTATTTTATATAGTTAAAATAACTTAATTTTAAGTTCTTTGATCAAGTAAAAAAACTGAAAATAGAAAAGTTGTAACTTGTAACAAAATAGTTCGGATGAATCCTTTTAAGCCCTTTTAACTACTCTTTATGGCTTCAACGAATTATCCAACAATTATTGGTACATGTTTTAATATTGTAGTAATAAAAAAGTGGTAGAAATAGAGTTAAAATGCATTCCCTCCACACTCCATAACCCCCACCCCACCTACCCACCACAAAATGAAGGGTGAAATAAAATAATTATATGTTGATAATTGATAAATGGTGACATTTCACTTCGTGTAATCGAATAATAGTCATTGAAATTTTAATTTTTATAGGTGAAATTTAAAGATGTTATTATGAAATTTCATATAAATTTCAAATTTTATACTAATAACTATTTTAAAAGATACGATCCAAAAAATATCAATAGACTCTATTTCTACTTGATCTTTGGCTCAAAATAATAATTTAGAACCTTCTTTCATAATGATAATTATTGTCCTCTAATCTTAATTAAGTATCTAATTAAACAAGTATGAGTCATCAAGACTAATATAAAATGAATTTTTTTGAACAACAAAGATAATCTTACTTTATGATAAGCTGGATTAATTAAAATAATAATAAACTTCCTACTATAAATATATACAACAATAATAAACTAGTGTAGTTCTCACCGTGAAATTTGAAAGAATGATGATTAACCTTGAGTCTTATCTTTATTTTATGAAAATAGAGAGACTTCTTCGATAGACTCGTCTCAAGTAAAACAATAATAAATGACAAATAAAGACATAACTTAAGCAAAGGAAATAATAAATAATAAAATTAAAGAACACAATAATAATAAATAAAAAATTAAAAAACGCTCAAATACCTTATATCCACAATCTCGTCTTCCGTATCAAAACTAACTATAAATATAAAAGTAAATTCTTCAAAAGTGGATTGTAGTCTTATGGATAATATATTCTATATATTTTTAAAATATTCTTCAATAACCAATCCCAGCTCATTTTCACATTAATAACATGCTTTAAAATACTTTATTTATTTATTTATTTAAAGAAGAATCGTATCTTTTATTAATTATTCACTGGTTTTAGATACTTTAATTAATTAATCCAAGAAAGTATCAGCACTTAAAGATCCTAATTATTAATTAATTAATATTGCCCCTTTTCTCAAACATTGCTTTAATACACTAGTTTTGGGATATGTATATATTCTCACCCAATTATTTTATAATATTTTTCTTAGTTAATACTAAAATTGAAAGAAATTTTATTTTATGAGTCACGTAATTAATATCGCTTATGTGAAGGTTCTTTATTACATGATAAGTGGACTTATGAGTCTCACTTGTATTTTAAAAAATAAAAGTCTATATTATTTTATTTAAATTAAGCGTCAATATAAGTAATAAATTATTTGAGTTTGCCTATTTTTAGTACGGTTCGAATTTATGTCAGTGATTTATTATAGAAGTCATTCATCTTGTGAGGAAGTACAGTGAAGTAGTACGGGGAAAAGAGAGAGGAACTTACATATGGTATTTATTTACCTTGTAAAGACATACAACAAAGTTCCAAACTAGGTTCTTTGGAGATGTTTAGATGCTAGAGGTGTATCGATGGCATACACTAGAAGCGATGGGTGAAACCCGGATAAGGACGGTGGGAGGAGACTCAAAGCACTTCACAGTCGTAATGGAGTTCCATCGGGGTCGAGTTCTTGGTTGGCTTCTCTGTCTTGGTGATGGATGTATTGATGAATTATAACCAAGATGAGATTGTAATAGTGTATGTTATTTGCGGATGACACCAATACTAATTGATGAGACTCGTGATAAATTAACTTGCTAAGTGGAGGTTTGGTGACAAACCTTGGCCGTTTAAAGGGTTCAACGGGACCAAAACTTAATACTTTGATTAAGTTTAGAGATGAAATAGAACGCATGAGGTTAGCGTGGAAGTGAGCCTTGATGCACGAGTCATCCCTAGAAAGAAAATTTCAAGTATCTTGAGTCTTTAATCCAAGAATGAGTCTTTAATCCAAGAAAATAGGGAGATCGACAATGATGCACACATAGATGCGGGATGAGCGAAATGGCTCGCCTCACAGGAGTGTTGTAACATTTAAGTTATTTTAACTAATGCTGGTCATAATAAATATAAATACTAAAAGTATTTCATATAAAATGAGGATCAATGGCGAGAATAGAATAAAGATAATTAGAAATTAATGTTTTGAGATAATATATTTTGGAAATTACAAAATATCAAGGATGATATATAAAAATTTTGATCAAACAAAAAATGTTTTGTAAGTTACAAGAATTATAGTTTAGTGTCTAACTTATTGCTTTTGACTGATTTTTCTTGTAAGCATTTTTATATTTACCAAATACGTAAATAAATCGTAAAAATCCTTATAAATTAATTTGTTAGAGCTAATAACTTTCAAAATCATAATTCTTAGTATGGACACATCTTGTGATCCTATTGGGCCTCTAGTGATAGGTGTTTCTTTTCACATTGATATCACTAAGTATATTTTGTTCTTATTTCATTTACAAAATTATATCATGATTATTGTTTTGGCAATATATAGTGGTGTCCTTTGTGATAGTGACAATTCCTTATGTGAGGACAAACTTAAATGGAGATCAACCTATATGGAGGCACTTCCATAAATTAAAAAATTATTTTTATTTGATAATGTTTAACGATGATGTAACATTTGTCTGTATCGAGTTTTTCTTATTCGGTAAAAAGTTTATAAAGTCTTTTCATATTTTTAAATTTATTTGTTCGAAGTCAAATTAATCACGTAAATTGAGATAAGGCCTAGGGGAGCATTTATTTTTTATTTGAAAAATATATTTGAAAATTGAATTGTACATGTTTGGATATGAATACAATTAAGACTGTTTTGAATTTTGTGAGTAATTTGGAGTGACATTATGAAAATTATTTTTGAAATTTTTTGAAATTCAACTTTTTGAAAAACTGTAACAATTCTAAGTCCAAACAGTTTTGTGAAATAAAATTTCAAAAAAAAAGGATGAAAAATTATTCATGGTCAAATGGGATTTTATTATATTTCTTCGAGGAGAAGTTAAACATGCACTTGATACTAGTCATTTTAATAAGAAGAAATTGATACTTACGTTCTGTTCGACACAAAGAAAATATTTTTAAATTTTTAATTAATCAAATAAAAAAATATTTTTCTATATAGAAGACTTACCCTTACATACTTGTGTATTTTAAAAAAGAGCAATTGACAATCACTTAGCCCCTTTTCCAGTTCTCTTCTCCAGCGAGGCAACAACCACTCAATGAGAAGATCCAAATGATTTGGATTGGTTCAATAAGAGTCATGGCCCAATTATGTCTGGGCCTAAGCACTAACATTCGGGTCAAGTTCATAAATAGCTCTAAGATGGACGGATGTTGATATTTTCTTTCTCATAAAAAAAGTCTAACAAAAATGACTATCATAAATGGTGATCTTGACATTTTGGACCTCGCTTAACAATTATTTTAAAAAATAAATAAATAAATAGTACGCGGAAAGTGCAACTTTAAAAACAAAAGTTCGAATTATTTAAGGCTTGATGAGCGCATTGATTAATGAGAAATTAACAACTTTATCAGCAAAAGTTAGAACTTAGGTATGTTGCCCATAATGTATAAGTTCTAACTTTCCTTAAGACAAGCGAGGACATTTAAGACATGAGGCACGCTCAATTGACCATAAGTTCCGTCTTATAGGCAAAAAAGTTAGAATTTAAATATATTTTCCATCGAGCATAAGTTCTTTGTGCTTAAATAATGTTCAGGTTATTTTAAAATATTGAATGCGGTCAATTGACCACAAGATCTCCCTTATAAGAAAACATTAAAGTTTACATATACGATGGGCAACATAAATAATTCCCAACAAATTTTCAAGTTAAAATTATATTTTAAAAAAGGACGCATTAAACGAAATAATTCAGATGAGACACTTTGAGTGTCACTGACATCATTTCCTCCTAATGTTCTCACACCAAATCCTAAACCAAATGAGCAAAGCTAGAAATGGGACATTTGTGTAAAAGATTGGAAGGAAGTGGGCTTGTGGTGTCAATTTTGGGCCCAAGCCAAACAACTTGGGCCTAATTTGGTTCTTGGGAGTTATCCTCTCATCTTCTGTTGTTTTTCCATTTGTTGTGGAAAAAAATACCAACTTTGCTTTCATTGAGAGTCAGACTCAAGACCTCCCGCTTACTAAACGGGTGCTCTAACCAGCTGAGCTATGAAAGCTGTATGCCTGTGTGGCTCTTAGTCACCCTTAGTGGTCATTTGATATGCGTGGTGGGGATAACCAGGAATATGTAAATTAATTATTTTATTTCACTTTCTATATGGGATAGATAATAGGATAAAATAATTTAAAATTAGCTAATATTTAAATTAAATATGAGATAAAGTTAATATCAAATTTATTTAAAGTTGTGTTCTTTATTACGTGCAAACGACCCTTATGAAAATAAGTTAAAACATAACTTGTCACAGTATTAGTTTGGGTCACGCTGATCTCGTGATGGGAGAAATTATTTTCTAGACTTTTTACAATCATTGTAATTTTATAGGTCCTTTACAAGATAAACTCATTTTTACACACAAGAGATCATCCTTTTTATACATAAAGAGATGCGCAAATGTCACTTTCTTCTATTCAATTTATTAAGGGCAAGAGATCTCATGCCCTCTCTCGTAATGTACTCGTATAAGTGTTATAGTCTACTCCATTATAGTTTTATTTTCTTATAGCGGTGAAAAAATAATTGCTGAACTCTATGGTCCATTTTATATGACATTATTATTATTTTTTATGTCTTGGTTGCTTAAAATAATGATATTAATTTTACTTACAAAATTAAGGAGTTAAAGTTTGTCTATATCATTTTTTTGGGAGTGCGACTCTTTCCCAGACCCATTAACCACAGAATGTTTTGTACCTTCGGGTTGTCCTTTTTTATTAGTATTTCAAGGATTCCATGTGAGATTACTTTGCATTATAAGTACATTATTCAGCATGTATTATTTGTTAAAAAGTAAATCTTAATAACTTCAATTTCACAAATATTAAAATTGTCTATATTTGTATTATTTCCAAATGAGAATGATTAATGTATATAAAATTTAAATAATTTTAAAATTAAATATTACAAAAACATTAGTATTTATTTTATAAATTCTGGAGTCGATTTTAAAGGGTAAAAACTTGAACGACATTTTGCTATGTGTTTTCGTACTTTAAATATTTAGTAATAACTTAATTTTAAACCTTTCATTTTACCGTTTATAAGATGCTTTCAACTCAGAAAATTCTCTTAATATATGTGTCTAATCAACACCTTCACGGGAATTGAAGCAGAAAAATAATAGATTTAACGAAAAATGATTAACAAGAATGCTCAGGATTAATTGAAAAAGTTTACGAGTCTGTTGAATCATTTTTGAAATAGTTACACTCTTTAATTATTTTCTCATTTGATGAGTTAATAAATTGTGAATAATTGATATATGAAAAACGTTGTAAATGCATTCGGCAAATGCAACTTATAAATCGCATAGTTGCATTTGCCAAATCTGACCATAAGTGTATTTGCCAAATGCGATTTATAAGTTGCATTGCCGAATGCGGTTTATAAGTTGCATTTGGCGAATGCGATTTATAAGTTGCATTTGGCAAATGCATTTTATAAAATGCATTTGGCAAATCTCTGTTGTTGCAGGTTGCCTGCTTATGCGATTTAAGAGTTGCATTTGCCTAATGCGATTTATAAGTCGCATTTGCCAAAATACGATTTATGAGTTTCATTTGCCAAATGCGGTTATAAGTTGCATTTGCGGAAACACGATTATGCGTGCCATTTGCCAAATGCGATTACAAATGCATTTTGCGAATGCGATTTATCGATTGCATTTGACGGAATGCGATTTATAAGTTGCATTTCCCAAATGCGATTTTAAGGTTGGTTTTGCCAGATGCGGTTTAAGGTGCATTTTCCAAATGCGATTTATCAGTTACATTTGGCAAATCCGATTTATAAAATGCATTTGGCCGAATGGATTGCTCGTTGCATTTGCCAAATGCGGTTTATAAGTGCATTTGGCAAATGGGACTTTATAAGTTGCATTAGCCAAATGCGGTTTATAAAGTGCATTTGGCCATCGATTTATAAGTTGTATTAGCGAATGCGATTTATAGAATTTGCCGAATGCGATTTATAAGTTGCATTTGGCAAGGCGGTTATAAGTTGCAATTGGCAAATGCGATTTGTAAAATGCATTTGGCAAATCACGTTATGATTGCATTTGCCGGGTACGATTTATGATTGCATTTGCAAATGCGATTTAAGGTTGCATTTTCCATGCGGTTTATAAGTTTCATTTGACGAATCACGATTTATAAGTTGCATTTGCCAAATGTGATTTAGGATTGCATGTGACGAATGCGATTTATAAGTTGCATTTGCCGGAATGCGATTTATAAGTGCATTTCCCGGAATGCGATTTATAAGTTGCATTTCCCAAATGCGATTTATAAGTTTCATTTTGCCAAATGCGGTTATAAGTTGCATTGCCAAATGCGATTTATAAGTTGCATTTGACGTATGCGATTATAAGTTGCATTTGGCAAATCTGATTATAAGTAGCATTTGCCAAATACGATTTATAAGTTGCATTTGCCAAATGCGCGATTTAACGATTGCATTTGCCAAATGCGGTTTTAAGAGTTGCATTTGCCTAATGCGATTTATCAATTGCATTTGCCAAATGCGATTTATAAGTTGCATTTGCCAAATGCAATTTATAAGTTGCATTTACTTAAATGCAATTTATAAAATGAATTTGGCAAATGTGTTTTATAAAATGCATTTGGCAGAAATGCGATTTATAAGTAGCATTTGCCAAATACGATTTAAGAGTTTCATTTGTCAAATGCGATTTATAAGTTAGTTTGCCAAAAACGATTTATAAAATGCAATTGCCGAATGCGATTTATAAGTTGCATTTTCCAAATACGATTGTAAGTTGCATTTGCCAATGCTGATTTATAAGTTGCATTTGCCAAATGCGGTTATAAGTTGCATTTGCCAAATCGATTTATGAGTGCATTTGCCGGAATGCGATTTATGATTTGCATTTGCCGAATGCGGTTTAAGAGATGCATTTGTCAAATGCGGTTTAAGAGTAGCATTTGCCAAATGCGGTTTTCTCCGATTTCATTTGGCGAATGTGATTTATAAGTTGCATTTGCAAATGCAAATTATAAGTTGCATTTGGCAAATAGTTTTCTCAGCCATTTGGCAAATGCGGTTACTCAGTTGCATTTTGCCAAATGTGATTTAAGAGTTGCATGTGACGAATGTGATTTGTGAGTTGCATTTGCCGAATGCGATTTATAAGTTGCATTTGGCCAAATACGATTATAAGGTGCATTTGGCAAATGCGATTTATAAATTGCATTTGCCAAATGCGGTTTATAAGTTGGATTTGCCGACGATTTATAAAATGGAAATTTTGCCAAAATGCGATTTAAAGTGACATTTGCCAAATGCGATTTTCATAAGTTGCATTTGACAGATGCGATTATAAGTGCATTTGACAGATACGATTTATAAGTTTCATTGCCAAATGCGATTTATAAGTTGAATTTGCGTATGCATTTATAAGTTGCATTCACTGTATACGATTTATAAGTTGCATTTGACAAATGCGGTTTTACTAAGTTGCATTTGGCAAATGCGATTTATAAGTTGCATTTGCCAAATGCGATTTATAAGTTGCATTTGCAAAATGCGATTTATAAGTTGCATTTGGCAAATGCGATTTATAAGTTGAATTTGACGAATGCGATTTATAAGTTGCATTTGACGAGTGCTATTTATAAGTAGCATTTGCCAAATACGATTTATAAGTTGGATTTGCCAAATGCGATTTATAAGTTACCTGCATTTGGCGAATGCGGTTTATAAGTTGCATTTTTCCAGTCTGGGTTTATAAGTTGGATTCTTAGGCGATTTATAAAATGTTTGCCAAATGCGATTTAAGAATTTGCCAAATGCGGTTAATAAGTTGCATTTGGCAGATGCGATTTATAAGATTGCATTGCCAAATGCGATTTAAAGTTGCATTTGCCAATCGATTTATCGGTGCATTTGTGAATGCGATTTATAACTGCATTTGCCAAATGCGATTTATAAGTTGCATTTGACGTATGCGATTTATAAGTTGCATTTGACGTATGCGATTTATAAGTTGCATTTGGCAAATGCGATTTATAAGTAACATTTGCCAAATGTGATTTATAAGTTGCATTTGCCAAATGCGATTTAAGTTGCATTTGCCAAATGCAGTTTATCAGTTAGATTTGACGAATGCGATTTAAGAGTTGGATTTGCCAAATGCGGTTTATCGGTGCATTTGCCAAATGCGATTTATAAGTTGCATTGAACCGTCACGATTTATAAGTTCCTTTTGCGAATGTGATTTATAAAATGCATTTGGCGTCGTTATAAGTTGCAATTGGCGAATGCGATTTATAAGTTGCATTTACCAAATGCGATTTATAAGTTGTATTTGGCAAATGATTAGAAATGCATTTGTGAATACGATAAATTGCATTCACTGTATACGATTTATAAGTTGCATTTCCCAAATGCGATTTTAAAGTTGGATTTGCCAAATGCGGTTTATAAGTTGCATTTGCCAAATGCGATTTATAAGTTGCATTTGCAGATACGATTATAAGTTGCATGCAATAAATCATTATAAATTGCATTTGGCAAATACGTTATAAGTTGCATTTGGCAAATGCGATTATAGTTGCATTTGCCAAAATGCGGTTTTATAAGTTGGATTTGCCGAAAGCGATTTATAAAATGCATTTGCCAAATGCGATTTAAGAGTGACATTTGCCAAATGCGGTTTATAAGTTGCATTTGGCGTGAATGCGATCAGGATAAGTTGCATTTGACGAATGCGATTCCTCAATTTCATTTGCCAAATGCGATTTATAAGTTGAATTTAACGTATGCGATTTATAAGTTGCATTTGACGTATACGTTATAAGTTGCATTTGACAAATGCGGTTTATAAGTTGCACATTTGTAAAATGCGTTTATAAGATTGCATTTGCCAAATGCGATTTATAAATTGCATTTGCAAATGCACGATTTATAAGTTGCATTCGGCAAATACGATTTATAAGTTGAATTTGTCGAATGCGATTTATAAGTTGCATTTGTGAG